CCCCACGACTCCAAGAAATACCATACACGTGTTTCCTCATCCCAGCGCACGACTCACGGACACACAAACAGAGCCAGTTTGGAGAGAAATAAAAAAAAAAGAAAACACTCTGATTGGTTGAACTCCTCAACTTTTTCTGTTGCTTGTTTACTGCGGGTGGACCGGGTTTTTGCATAGTTTAGAGTTACAAATCGTACCTAAATAATCTGACTTAAATATTCATATGTAGCTCACATTAAGCTATCGTATGGCTGAACTGTTGCCATATGCATACAAGTAAGGAATTAAAAAGAAAGGTGTAATTACACTCATCAATGTATAAGTGATTATAGCAGCTGAAAGAGCAAGTGGTTCAGATTAATTAATCACAACCCTACTCATTATAGACAGGCAGTGTGAGCTCTGTACCTCGCCTCAGGGTTGAGATGATCCTTGCTGAGCAGCATACCCAGCAAATTAAGGAGCGTGCTGAAATGCCTTTTGGTTGCTGTGGTAACTGTGCTGATGACAGCACCATCAAAAAGGGATGGAGACGAAGAGCTCAGGCTGCTTGAGATAAAGTGATCATGTCTTGGGAGAAATAAAGAGAGACAGGCAGCAGTCTATCAGTTATCATGCCTGGAGTGAGAGAGGCTCAAATCAAGTGAATGACAAAGCGTTTTTTGACAGTTTTATGTACACTGCAAGAAATACAATGATAAAACCATATAGCACTGCATAATTCATGAAACCACACTGCCACTTGTTAAACACTTCAGTGTTATTCTGCATTTCTCACACTATTCGTCCAATACGTTTGTGATTTTAATTTAATTCATTTTTAATTCAGACAAATTTAATAATTAATCAGACAGTAAAACAGTAATATTGTGAAATAGTACTACATTTTTAGAAACATTATTTTTCTATTTCGATCTTATATATTTTTCTAAAATAATGTCATTTAATATGTTCACATATTCCTTCAGAAATTATTCTAATATGATTTGGTGCTCAAGAAACATTTCTTAATATCTAATTTTACAGTTTAATCAACAGTGTATATACATATAATATTATATAATAATATAATATATATCATCAATATAATATATTATATTATAATAATATAACAGGCCTGGAAAACACTATGACTGTGGAAACCCTGAACATTTTTCAAGAAGCATCATCCAGGTAAGTAAAGTTAATGTTGCATTGTTACCTGGTGCAGTGAGAATAGAGAGTGTAGAGCACTGCATACTGGACAGCAGGGTGATGAACTGCCAAATCAGAGTGAACTACAACCAGATTCTGACTGAGCAGGGCAAACACAGTAGGGGACAAAGCCCACATCTGTAACACAGAAAAAATAAGCGTTATTACTCTCTACTCTTTTACACATTTTCTTGTATGACTGCAAAAAATGCTTTCACAGAGCCAAGTATGAATTCATGCTGACCCCGATGAGGGAGTTCTTGGTGTTGCCAATGGTGGTGAGAGCACTGAGGTCGAAGATAAGGATAAACTCTGCTCTCTCTGGGCTGAACTGCAGCTGGCTAAAGGCAGGATGTTGTATGTTAGGACAGGCAGCAGGCAAACCCAGAGGGCTGAGCAAACTGTTCAGCGCACAGACCATCTCGCCCAAGACCAGTTTATAAGCTGCCTCCAGGGTAGGGATGTTCTTTAGGCTCAGCACAGCATGATACACTCCATGTGCAGCTGCCATCACCTGTGACACAAACAAAAAAGCGTTAGCTCACTTTGGTCACTATAATCGTGATATGAAATTTTCATACCGTTACATCCCTAGCTCATAGCTGTTGTGCGTGTTGAATTTCTAACAATTGAGGTTACTGATCGTACCTCTCTTTCTCTGTGGAAACGCAGCTCCAAGAGTTGGGAATTTGAGGCCAGCAACTTCTCCACAAAAGCAGCCGGGATGTTGGTGTTTATCTGGTCAACAATCTACAAACATGCATAAAAAAATTAAAATAAAAAAGACTAAAGGTGTGAAAAAGTATTTCAAAGACAAAAATAATAGTGACAAGGGCAAAGTGTGAACTACATTTATTTACGCAAATCCCACAAACTGTACTCCAGTCTGTCAGTTATTGGATTAATCAAGTCAAGTCCTACCAGTGTAAGCAGGGTGAGAACGGACATGCTGTATTCTGGTCCGCAGCACTGGCAGCTGTCCAGCTGGTCTAGGCCATAAGAGATTACAGCATCAATCAGCTGGTTGCCCAAGTCCATGCTCACCAGCAGGACACACACACACTCATTTCCTGCTGTCAGCACTGCCTCCGAGAAGAACACCTGCTTGGCTGTGGTGACACAGGCTAAAACACGGTTCAAAACCTGTGAGCGAGAAAATGCAAACAATTTACGTCAGATCAGTAAAGGATTGTGTGTGTGTGTGTGTATTCTGAAGTGTTTGTTGATCTATAAATGACAGCAGTTTATCTTAGAGGATCTATTTGTATTGCAGAAACACATATATTTAAAGCAGAGGCCATGCGTGTTGGATACTAACATCAGTGACATATGCTTCTGTGATCGGAGGCCCTCTGATAGGGTTGAATCGTTCTCCGATGCTGTGCACAACTGTGCTAAAAACTCTCAACAGGGCTGCCAGTTTTGGCAGGGATACTGCGAGAGGGGGAATGTCCTCGTCACCTGATTCCCCAGATACAACATGACTCAAATCCTATGAAGTAAAGAGCACTAGAACCTCAGAAATCTCATAATAAATGGACCATCAGAAACCAAATTAAAACAATTCATGTTACCTCAGCATACGCCTCCATGTCTTCCAAAAACTGACCCAATAATGTAGTTGAAAAGGCCAAATCTGCGACCCAAAACTGCTCCAGACTCTGTAACCAGCCTAGAAATATATATTGAGACAGGTTAGACAGGTTATTTCCCAAAAAAGAGAAATGAAACTAAATATAAAACAAATCGTACCAGACACTTGTTGAGTAAGAGACTGTTTCTGTGTGTGGTCTATATGCCAACCTACTAAGATATCCACTGTGTCCTGAAAAACAAAAGCAGCAGTTAATTTACAAGTTCTTTCCTTTCAGATTTCAAATTTAAGACTGCTTGCACTGCTTACTCTGAAGTTGGTGCTGAATACGTGTGGATAACACCGGGCCAACAGTAAAATACATTTTACACTTTGGCACAACAGCTCTGGCGTGTCCAAGTTCTCCAAGATAGACTGAAGGCTGCTCATCACCAACTGAAAGACCAAACGGTAAAACATTTCAACCTAGGGCTGGGCGATATAGCTAAAAAATTTATCAACGATATAATGTTTCCTATCGTTCGGTATCGACAATTATTGACATTTTTTATAAGCTTTTGTAAAACAAAGAGCAATAGAAAAAAAATGTTTAAATTTAACCACTGCATTTTTAAATTAACCCAATTTATTGAGACAAACAACAAATATTTTTTTGTTTTAACAGTCAAACACACAATAAAAATTAAACAAATATCTCACTTCTAATGTTTTATATGCAGATTAAATAGGTCTTAAGGAAACTTTTGGCTTGTCTCCCGAGGCCATACGAGGGCGCAATGAGCAAAATAATGCAGCACATAATGTCAACGCATGGAAATAACTGTCTATAAAAAACGTGCATTACGTCTAAATTAACTCGTAAAAATCTAAAATAATTTTGTAAATTGCATAAACAATTATGAACAAAACAGCATCATGTGTTTATGCATTGCTTAGCCTAATACAAAGAGCCAAATCGCCGATCACACAGATTGCATTTAAAAACACATATATAAATCAAATATAATTTTGTAAACTGCATAAACAATTATGAACAAAACAGCATCATGTGTTTATGCATTGCTTAGCCTAATACAAAGAGCCAAATCGCCGATCACACAGATTGCATTTAAAAACAAATGAGACGCAGTGAAATGAAATAAACCTTCACAAATTCGCATCGCGTTTTCTAAACGTTAAAACGGTTTTAACTTTGCATGACTTTCTTTGCATCTCTTGCATGAGACGCGAGTGCAGCAGTCATATTTGTCCGTCTAAAAATGTGCTGAATATGCGTTGTGTGAATGGCTTGGTTTTGGTTTTAACCTAATCAAGCTCTTCTACGCATTGCGCTACTATATTTCTCTAATATTTTGAACGAATAACACAGCAGCGGTGCGTCTCGTGGGCTAAATTAACAAAACATTAAAATGCAACGTCACTTACATCATCA